TGGCCTATGAAGGCTCCTGCATGCACGTGGCACACATAAATATACATACATGCAGATATATATATATATATACATATAATATAGATTTTTGAAAGACGAGATGAGCAGTTGAGTTAAATCATTGAACTTGTTCTTTCAGACAGAGGCAGAAAGATGAAAGTGGTACAAAACTAAATCTATGGAATGGTTAAAATTATTGACAAGTTTAAATATTCATTTGTTTTGATGTATTTTCATGTTAGCCTCTTCATTTGTCCCATTGACATCTCTAGACATCAATCTTCATGGTTCCCCTCTATGTTAAGATTAGTGGTCTTGGGGTATGGGTGTAGCTCAGCCATAGGTACTCAGCATGTGTAGAGTCCCAGGTCCAATCCACAGTGCCACAAAGCAAAACCAATCAAACGAATCAATCGTTTCTCATCTGTGACACTGGCATCAAGGCCCATTCCAAACGAAGAAGATGAATATGTATATGTACTGGGACCCACCAATGAATTAGATTGCTGGCTTTACATTTGTTAAGTTTCAGCAATTGTTACCTGTTTTAAATATGAGCAGTGCCTTGCAACAGATGCGTTCAAAGGAAATGCTGAAGCATCATTTACGGAGCTGTCTTCAAAGAGATGGTGGTACTCGGGAGGTGAGGGAGAGGCAGAGTGGGCTTTGGTCCAAACACAGGGATCCTATCTACAGGTTAAAAGTCCCATGGTTTCTCTATCCTTGTATTTACCCACATTTGATCAGCATTTCTCATCCCTTTATGCTTCTTCTGTTCTAGCATTTTCTCTCTATCTGCACACGTTTGAATAGCCTTTTAGATATGAAATAGTGGCATGGCTGGGGGCCAGGCAGCATTAGACTGTGGGAGCACCTCCACTGTCCTCAGAATAACCATACACAGCACTTTCTTTTTCTTCTTGAGTTTTTCTTTGGAAACTCTCTTCTGTCTTCCTCCCTTTCCCTCCTCCCCCTCTTCCTTCTCCCCCTCCTTTTTTATTTTAAGATTTTATTTATTTATTATGTATACAGCATTCTACTTCCATGTATAGCTGCCCACCAGAAGAGGGCACCAGATCTCATAACAGACGGTTGTGAGCCACCACGTGGTTGCTGGGAATTGAACTCAGGACCTCTGGAAGAGCAGTCAGTGCTTTTAACCTCTGAGCCACCTTTCCAGCCCCCCCCTTCTTATCTTCTCATAGGCATGGTACTCATTGTGTTGCCCAGGCTGGGCTTGAATTGGCAGTAGTCTTCCTGTCTTAGCTTCTTATGAGCAAGGATTGCAGGCATGAGCCACCAGTGGCTGTCAACTATGGATTTTCTTTGTGTGTGCATGCTTGTGTGTGCATGTTTGTGGGTCTGTGTACATGAGTGGATGTATACGTGTGTGAATGTCTCTGTGTGTGTTTATGGGTACAGACACCTGTGTAAGCCAGAGGAGGTTGTGAGGTATCCTGTCTGCCCTCTCACTCTCTTTACCCCTATGCGACAGGGTCTCTCACTGAACCTGGAGCTTGCTGTTCCTTCTGCTACGCTGGCTAGGCAGAAGACCCCAGTGGTCCTCCTGTCTCTGCTCCTCACGTTGTTGGGGTCACAGCCATGCACAGCAATGCTTGGCTTTTGTATTCTGGGGAATCCAATCTCAGGCTCTCAAGCTTCCTCAGTGAATACTCTTACCTGCTAGGCCATCTCCCCAGCACCTCTTTTATTTCTTTCTTCTTCTAATTTTACTTTTCAGTGCTGGGAACCAAATCCAGGGCCTTGGTTATACTAGGCAAGCACTCTACCCCTCGGCTGCATCTCTGACTCCAAAAAGTGCTCTCTTCCCAATGGCTTACTGAAAACATTGTTTTGTGTCTGAAGGTGCTGTAGAGCTGGTGACACAGCACCTTTAAAGGTGGTCTAAATCCTGTAGTGATGGATTAAACATAAATTAAATTATTTGATAGAAAATCATTGTGGCCTTTAAACACTCCCCTTCATATATTATAATTGTGCCTGCATCACATGCATGGGGCCATCACACATGCTAGGATGTGTGTGTGGAGGTCAGAGGACAGCTTGGTGGAGTCAGTTTTTTTCTCGCACCTTTATGTGAATTCTTGGGATTGAATTCTTGTCAGGTTTGAGCAGCAAACACTTTACCCACTGAACGCCCTCACCAGCCCCTATTGTGACTTTTGATTATTTAATAGTGCTATACATCTGAGTATTTGACAAAAATGAAAGCTCAGGCTTTTTGGCCAGAGTAGACTAAGCTCTCCTTGTAATTAAGATGATCTTGGCTTGTTCTCACATCGGTCAAGACTAGGTTTATGAATGGAACAGCTGGAGCCTGCTTGTCACCTTTGAGCACACATTAGGGGACTGTAATCCACAAGACACATGTTTATTAAATACTTCTTAGAGATCCAGAGGCACAAAGCAAAACAAAACAATGACAGAAACCTGGCCCTTCTTGTAGTCACTAACAATTTAGTGAGTTAAAACTAATGAAGTCAGGAGTAGGTTTAGTCCACTGCTAATCCATAGCATCGATTTCAGAGGAGGATTTGACTCCCATTTCGTGCTGACTAAACTCTTGCCGAATTTGTATTGTGAGAGAAGTCATTCATAAGCTAGCCTCTAGCCTCTGCCAGCAAAGTGTTCTTGCTGTTGTCAAGGAAGCCTGTGACTACCTGTGGATACCATACATGTCTCACAACTGGGATGTGGAATACATATTTGCAAGTGAAAATTTGAGGAATGTTCCATTCCTCTTGTGGTGGTTTGAGTGAGAATGGCCCCCATAGGCTCATATATTTGAATACTTGGTCCTCAGTTAATGGAACTGTTTGGAAAGTATTGTGAGGTGTGGTCTGATTAGAGGAGGTATGTCATTGAGGGGGGCTTTGAGGTTTCAAAACCCAACTCCATTCCCTGTTATTTTTTTCTGCCTGATGATTTTTGTCTTAAAATGTGAACTCTCAACTACTGTCGAACTTCCTACCTCTTGCCACACTCCCAGCTATGATTGTTAAGGACTCTAACCCTTTGAAGTTTGTAAGCCCCAAGTAAACACTCTCTTCTATAAGTTGCCTTGGTCATGGTGTCTTACCATAGCAATAGAAAGCAACGAAGACAGAAATTGGTACTGGGAGTGGGGCTTGAACCCCACACAGACACGTCCATTGGATACCATAGTCCCAAATGAAGCGTTGTCTTTTATAAGTTGCCTTGTTCATGGTCTTATCACAGCAATAGGAAAATAAGACACCCCTCAATTTACAAAAAAGATGTAATCATATGGTAGCTTTACTGAAGGCTTTGGAAACATGTAGTTCATCATTCTGTCATTACAAAACAAACATTGTCACTTCCTGGTTCCTTCAGTTTTTGCTCACATAGGAAGTTCCTTTATTGTAGGAATTATACCAGTTTGTCTATTTGACATAAAGATGTTTCCATTGTTATAATACTTTTATCATAATTTTGTTTTATTTTGTTTTTTGATACAGAGTTTCTCTGTGTAGCCTTGACTGTCCTGGAACTCACTCTGTAGACCAGGATGGCCTTGAACCCCAGAGATCCACTTGTCTCTTCCTCCCAAGTGCTGGGATTAAAGGTGTGCACAACCACTGCTCGGCCAGTTTTTGTCATAATTTTAATGGCACTTTTTGACTCATTAGCACTTGCTTTCCATCTCAAGATTTTAACAGTATTTGTTGTACTTCTTAAGTAGTTCACATTAATAGTCACATCTAATTATTTCAGTATCATGCGAATATTCATATCATTAGTTTATACATGAGTTTTGCCCTTATATAATCCTCCATGAATATATATGCATATGTGCATACATTAAAATTTTTAAAAGGTGGTGAAAATTTGGGCATAATTCAGAAGCCAGAGTAGAGGGGCCCTGAATTACTGATTTTATTCTATCTTGGATAACTGTTAATTCGGCCTTTAGGCTTGCTTTTTTCTGAGCATGTCATTTGTCTGATCTGAGTTTCGATTGTGTTTTTTCAAATTTGTACATGCGAATTGGAGCAAGTACTACAAGAAAAAGGAAAGAGGTGAATTTGATATCCAGTGGCAGCAATTTATATTAAAATCTACCTCTTCTTAATAATAAATGTATATGTATTGGAAGTGGTGAGGAATCAAAATCATTTTGATGCTCTATATCTCAAGTGTAGCGCGTGTGGTTGGTATGGTGGTAAGTGAGGCTGACCCCATACCACATCAGATGTTTAGGGATTCATTCTTTGCTGGGAGCTAATACACAGTTGGAGACACAATAATGTGTATTGGAGGAAAAAGATCAAACATAAGAGATAAGAAATTGTGACTGTTGGCTTTCCTAACAACTTGAAATATAGCAAATAGCAGTGGAGTTTCAAGCTAATATGCACAATCTTGGGGTCATTACACTTTGTCTGAATCCATGTGTATTTATGTAGCCATGGTGCATTATTTTAGGTTCTTTTCGTTCCCTCTGTGTTTATCAATTTGTAGGTCCTTCAGCAAGCCATTCCTAATGCCTGAGTAATTAAGGTCGATATTTCTAGTATTTAGACTTAGAGTGGTGTTTCTATGGTGCAAAGCATCTTTAGAGATATTTTGGGGTACTTTAAGCAAAAAGTTGGCCTACGAGATGGATGGGATAGCGCCTCCGTTTGTTTAGACAGAGGGCCTCGCAGAATATGCTTTGCTTCCATGTGTGTAAAGGTCTGTTTTTTTGTGCCTCTGAGTTATCCCTGACAAGCAACCTTGGGGGCTTCTCTCTGTGATTACATTTGCAGATCTCCAGTTAGCCTCTTGAGCACTCTTGGGGTCTGGGTGGGGGAGAAGCTTGTTGATTTCCTCTGAGGCACTTCACCTCAGTAGCCCCTGAAGCAAAGTGGGGAACAGTGATATTAAGGGCAGCATGTCAACTCTGGGGACAACAGGGCTATTTTGCATTTTTTGAGGGGTTGTTATATTCTTACCTTTCCTCTTTGTTGTATTTTCAGGATCTCCCTAGAGTCCTCCTCCTCCATCAATTGGCAAAGCAGGAAGGTGCTTGGACCATTCTTCCTTTGTTACCACAGTAGGTACTTTTTACTCAAACGGTGTCAATCATTGGCATTTGGGCCTCCACACTCTTGCATTCCTTAGAAAGGTTTATCAAATTATTAAGAGGTTGTATGTTTCCGGAGATTCTCAGTGGAATCAATTAGAGTTTTATATTTTGAGATTACTGTATTAACTAGAATTTTTTCCATGATTGGTTCTTAATCATAGTTTTTTTTTTTTTGCTTACTTTCTTTTAAAAATGATTTAGTTTATATGTTTGAGTGTTTGCGTGTTGTGCACTATCTGCATGCAGTACCCACAACCCACAGAAGCCAGAAGAGGGCATTGCATCTCCTGGAACTGGAGTTACAGATGGTTGAGAACAGCCCTGTGGATGCTGGGACTCAAACCCAGGTCCTGTGCTAGAGCAGCCAGTGTGCTTAGCTACTGAGCCATCTCTCCAGCCCCATAGCTTTTATTTTTAGGTGTGTTTCTATCTTAGATGATAAAATGCTTCAAACTCATGTTTGAAATTGTTCTGAACTGATGTTGTTACAGGCAGAGTTATAAACTCTCTCACCATCTGGAGACTGTTAGTCCCTGGCTTTCCTGGCAGTTGAAGCTAAGATACAAAGTTGGGATTCTAATGGACTATACAGAAAACACTACAGTCTAGACACCTTGTCTTCGACTTCATCCATTTCCTAGATACTGGTTTAAATATGACCATAAACTCAAAAAAGAAAAGAAGAAAAAAGAAAGAAAAGAAATATAGCTGGGCAGTGGTGGCATATACTTTTAATCCAAGCACTGGGGAGGCAGAGGCAGGCAGATCTCTGTGAGTTTAAGACCAGCCTGGTCTATAGGGTGAGTTCCAGGACAGCCAGGGCTACTTAGAAATACCCTGTCTCGAAAAGCAAAAACACACAAACATATTCATTTACACTCCTCTGTTACATTATGCTGTTTCTGTACCATGAGTCCGTGTGCCCTAATGCATTTCTTCCCATCAGCTTTTCTGTAACGTATAGCAAGAATTCAGCGTGGATCTTCTTCTCTGAAGAAGAGACGAGAATACAAATCCGCAGACTCCTAGAAACACTCAGGCGATTTGACCCCTCTAAGGTGGGCGCTGCTTTGAAACTATGTTTTGACTTGGGGGGGATGATAATTCAAAGAAAATGTGATTTTGATTAAGAGGTATTTGAAATAACAGCTTGATTTCTGAAAGCTTTGTTGTAAAATTCTGTGAGGCTTATAGCTTACAGAGAACTCGGAACCATTTTATGTGGAAAATATATATTTATGTGTGTTGAAAACATAAGGAAGTTAAAAGGAACAATAACCTTTTAGAGTTACCAACCAGTTTTCCATAGGAATAAAATTAAATAAGCTGTTTTTCCCCATCAGAAAGGGCACACACTTAACATACAGACTATTTTTATTATTTATGTTTTATTTTATCTTATATGGAGGAATGTTTTGCCTAATGTACATGTGTGAACCATACACAGACAGTGCCCACAAAGACCAGAACAGGGTATCAGACTCCCTGGAATTGGAGTTACAGATGGTTGTGAGACATCACGTGGGTGTTGGGAACCAAATCTAGGTCCTCTATAACAGCAACAAGTGCTTTTAGCCACTGAGCCATCCCTCCAGCTCTCAAATGGAATATTTTGATGTCTTAAGATTCTGGGTCTGATATCCACGGACGCAACTCACAGCCTGGTCACTTGGGACAAGCTGACTTGGATCCTTCCTGGTACTCATAGGAACAGGCTCCATCCATCCAGAGTCTCACTACAGACAGGAGTGTGGGTGACGGATGTCTGGGGAATGCAGGTTGTGTGTGCTGGTGCAGAACTAAAAGCTAGACAACACCCATCATTAGATCGGTTTCCCAAACACTGCACAGTGTGTTACTGCAATGAAACCTACTGAGTTTGGTGCCATTTAAGTGCTGGAAGGATCCATTATGATTTCTTTCTGTTGTTGATTTCTGAGAAAGCCACAGCTAACAGGCATGGGAAGGCCATTAGGTGGGAGAAGAATTAGGAACGTGTTTGGCCCAGTCCTTCCAGATGCTGCTATGGGTCTTGCGGCTGTGTTTTATGCAAACCATTTGTGAGGTTTTTGTTTCCTCCTGTCTTGAATGTTGGGGTTCCAGCCTCTTTCTCGCTCTTCATGTCACCTGGAGACTCTTGCCCCATTTCCATGGTTCTAATTCTATAGGGAGATGGTGACTCACAGTGTCTTTTTCATGAAAATCGAGTGATAAATGGAAAAAGTTCAAAGCGAGTTCATGGGAAGAGAGTTCAGAACGGAGCCAAAGGGAGACATTTGCCTTTCCTTTCTGAGCGCTGCAGTGTGGAGAAAAGAAAACCCTAAGATGTTTTATTTCTTTTGAAAATAGCGTGACGGAATATAGATGACATAATGTTGAGGTCAGATCAAACCGGTGGGGCTTTTTTCTTCTACTGTTTGCAATCTTAGGAGAAAAAGAAGCCATTACTGACATAAATAAGCCATATCAAGATAATAACAGCATCATGCGTCTGGAAATTGGGTATTTTTATTCCTAGACTGTTTTCCTTGCTATCTTCCAGCCATTCTTACAAATGCAAACTTGGGCTCTTGTTCAATGTTTTGAATAGATGAGTTGGATAGTTATTGAAGTAATTGATCTTAGTTAAAGTGCTTTCCTAGCTGGTTTCTCTAAATCTCCATCTTATTTGAACCCTGTCTTTCCCACTCCATAGTATGCTTTTAATGTCTGTATATCTGATGAGGCATATTAACTTTGATTTATTTTTAACAGCAACGAGGCATGGTGCTGGTTAAAAGTAATCCCCGTAGGATATCATCAGTTATCTTTCCAGTTTTATCTTTTTATTATTGTTCTTTCCATGAAGCCACTAAAAGACAGTCCTTCATTAGGAGGAAAGATGTATGGTTCTTTCCATAGTCTCCATTGGGTTCTTCCTTAAAATAGTTTATAACCTCAATAAAAAATATTAACAGACAATCATATGTGCTTTCTAATAGCTGGACATTGCAATGAGGAGATAAAATATGATGGTATGTTTTGCGTAAGACAGTGTTGCTGTCGAAGGTTTAGTAGTGAAAGCTGATTGAGAAGGGCGGGGAAGGGGGGCACTGAGAATGGGGCTTCCAGGTCTGGGCTCAGCTCTGCCAGTCCCACCTGTCATTGTTATTATCTAACACCTCCTATCATTTGCAATATGCATGTCTCCTGTGTTTGCTTTTTCTCAGTGGCTGTGGAGGTTGAGCCAGGCCATCCTGTTGTGGCTGGATGTGGCAGTGTTTCATTGCACTTTGAGCACAGATAATATTCCTCCAGTTGCTAGAGTCTAGCACAGGAAACCCAGCCAGGTCTGGCTGCCTCTTTCCTGTCAGGTTTCCCACACCTACTAAGTGTCAGATGCCCAGCTTCCTTACCGTGGAAGGTTTCAACGCCCCCTCACCAGGGACTCCACCCTGACAGCATTTACTGTTCTTTCTCAGATTCTTCTTTTTACCATGGGCCTCTTGATGTCATTTCACCACTGTCCATTTGTCTTAAGAGGGTTCCCTCTCTTCCAGGGCAGCCTCACCCCCATCAGTTATTGCCCTTACTTTAATTTCTACCCATCTGTATCACAAGCCACATCAGTGCTTGTTATAGGTTCTTGATAAATATTGAGTGAATGAGTAAATGAATATGATCCTGGATGGAAGTTTTCAAAGATTTATTGAAAACATCTATGGTTGGGGCTGGAGATATGGCTTAGTGGTTAAGAGCACTGTCCTTGAAGAGGACCCATGTTTGATTCCCAGCATCCACTGGGCAGCTCACAACCATCTGTAACTCCAGTTCCAGGAGATCTGGTGCCCTCTTCTGGTCTCCATGGGCACTGCATGCACGCGCTGCATAGACAAATACACAGGCCAAAGACTCGTTCACATAAAATATATATTTTATATTCTCATGTGGAGTATTGTATAAAAATACCATTCAGGTTGGCAAAATGGCTCAGGGGTAAAGGTATCTGTAGCCAAGACTGTCTAATTTGAATGCGCGCGCGCGCGCGCACACACACACACACACACACACACACACACACACACACACTCTAAATAATAAGGCATTTTTTTAAAAATAAGAAACACACACACATACAAATACTCTAAATAACAAGGCAATTTAAAATTAAGAAAGCATTCTTATATTTATGGCACACATTGTACACACAAAAATGTAGGCAGTAAGACAATTTTTGAAAATGAAAAAATCATATTTATAGTATAATGATGGCTAATATTTTTTCACACCAGTGACCTGATCTTGAATTATTTTCTTAACTGTAAAGATTGTGATAGATTCATTATCATACTCATGTTAATTATATCTCTATTTGGATTCTACAGAAATACATAACTTATGCGTTGTCTGCCAAGATATTTGTTAGTGAAATAGTCTAACTTTAATTTTTTTAGTTAATGAATTCTGTAGTCTAATATTTTAGTTAATGAAATCTGGTGCTATAATGTTGTTTGCAGTCTTAAGATTAAATGGCTTTTTTGAAAACAATGATATCTTATCTTTTTATTTAACAGGAATGGTTTTTAGGAAAAGCATTGCACGATGAGGAATCCACGATCATTCACCATTATGCCTTCTCTGAGAATCCTACAGCCTTTAAATATCCCGACTTCGCAGCTGGCTGGGCCCTTAGTGTCCCACTTGTGAACAAGTAAGAACTTATTAGACATTTTGTGTTGTATCTCTGAGTTTTGTTGCTGATGACTCGTAGGTTGTCAGATGATTTTCTCAGCCAGAGGTGGTCCGCAGGAGTGGAAAAGTGACAGACAGGAGGGTCTTGCCTCAGCGGGATCCCCTGAGAAGCCCTGCAGACATGTCACTCCCCTTCTGTCTACTTCCTAGGTAGTTTCTGGCAAAATAAAGAGACTAATAAATCAGTCATGAGACTAAGCGAGGGTACCAAAGGGCCAGAGAACAGAGGAGTCATGACCATTGTGCAGAGACCTTTGATCACCAGAAAGAAAGTGATACAGTGACTTGCAAGGGTTGGAGAGGATGCTTATTAAGGGGATGAATATGCAGATGTGTCAGGGGCCAGATCAGGCCAGCTCCCAAAGGCAGCCTGGGCAATCATGGCTGGCTATTTGTGTGCATAGCAAGCAATTCACATTTGTGGCATGGAGAGTAAGGTGGCTGAGTTCAGCTGAGGAGAAACGTGGTTGTCCTCAGGTCTTTGTTAGCTTATATTAATTATGTCCCTTTTATTCTTTGGAAGACCTAAGACTGGAAAACATCTGTGGCCTTTTGTATCTTTAGAGATGGAAGGGTTTCTCTAATTTTTCATTGTATGTCTTATTTCTGGGATTTGGGGTCTTGAAAGTGTTTTTGGGCCATTGCAGAGGAACACATGTGACTTCACAGCTGTCCTAAATATCTGCATGGCGTAATCCACGTTTGGTAGTTTTGTACACTGTAATTTTCCTCTGCCCAGTATAGACTCCACAGCTGCCCCCTTTATACAGGGGTGTAGCTCAGTGGCAGAGGGGTTATCCACCCTGCTTGCTTTTAATTTAAGTTGGAGTGTGTTGGCCACTTTTCGCTGTGGCTAAGGACAGATGAAAATGAATGTGGAAAATTATCTGGAATCATGTTTTTTCCACCTTTTTGGGGCTACATGAGAAATTGCTGAACTTCTGATGACTACCACTAGAGCTTTTACATTCAATTTAGTTTTTAAGTGACACATAAAATTATACACACTAATGGCTTCATACAGTACTTCAGTACATGCAGAGGCCATGTAATGTTTCAGTCAGTCTGTACATGGGCTGGGGAGATGGCTTGGAGGTTAAGAGCACTGGCTGCTCTTGTAGAGACCTAGGTGTGGTTCCCAGCACCTACGGTAGGCTCACAACCATCTGTAACTCTAGTTCCTGGGGATCAAATGTCTTCTCTGGTCTCCTCAGGCAGTCACTGTATGCACATGGTACACTTACATCCATACACACGAAACACTCATACACAGGAAGTAAAAATAAATATATACACATTTGTCTTCTAAAACATTATCGTTCATGGTAAAAGCACCCAAAATCCTTTCTTCTAAGCTTTTGGAAATGATTACAGTACAGAATTATTAGTTTTATTTGTAAAGTTCATTTTTGTTATGTTTGTTAAAAAAGGTTTTGCGTGTGTGTATAGTGTGTATGTGTGTATGTGTGTGTGTGCATGCGTACGCATGTGGGTCTGTGGATGGAGGAGACAGCCAGGTGCAGCTTCCATAGTATCTCCCATCTCCTTTTTCGGCCAAGTGTAAGCACCGTTCCTGCTGAGATGGGAGAGAACACAGGGTTTCATTGTGGCAGCTGGGTGTATAGGCATCTTAGTCTGGCCTGCTATAACAAAATACCACAAACCAGGTCATGTATAAGAAAGAAAGGTGTACCAGGTGACCTCCGCATTCAGTGTCATCTGCTTTTTACCACACTGAATAGTGACCAACAAATGAGAGCTTTAGTCAATAACTGTGGTCTTCTCCCTTCTACCCACCTTTTCTGATGTTAGCAAAAACAACCAAGTGAAAAAAAAATGTGGACTCTACCACAGCAACAAATCCAAACTCTGGTCATTTAGATTATATTTTGCTTCCCACTGATGTAGACAAGGAATAAGAAAATTGAGATAATGAGGCCCATCTAGTATTGCAACAATCTGTGGCAAGATTTATTAAACAATTATTATTAAAGCTTGCTCCCTCCCTCCCTTTCTCCCTCCCTCCGTGTGTGTGTGTGTGTGTGTGTGTGTGTGTGTATGTGTGTGTGTTGATCACTTACTGAAATCAGCTAATAGTTTGAAAACAACCTTAAAGAAAAGATCAATGGGCACAGTGGTGGCTCTCACCTTTAATCCCAGCTCTCGGGAGGCAGATAGGCAGATCTCTGTGAATTTGAGGCCAGCCTGGTCTTCAAAGAGAGTTCCAGGCTAGGCTCCAAACCTACAGAGAAACCCTGTCTCAAAAAAAAAAAAAAGAAAATATCGATTCACTGTAAATGTTGGAAGCAGCATGTGGATATAGGATGATAACATCTGTTTGTGATTTTGAGTTCTATTCTGGGTTAGTACATTCTTGCCTTATAAACACTGGTAAGCTTTGATTAAGGGGCTGGAGAGATGGCTCAGTAGTTAAGAGCACTGGCTGCTCTTCCAGAGGACCCTGGCTTGGTTCTCAGTACCCACATGGCATTTCATAACCATGTGTGATTCCAGTTCCAAGGGATTCAGTGCTCTCTTCTGGCCTCCATGTCTGTGCAAGTGGTGCACAGACATACCTGCAGGCAAAGCATCCATATAAATAAAGTAAATAAGAAATTTAAAAACTAAAAACAGATGTTTTCCATTCCTTTCTCTACAATGTTGAGTATATGTAGAGTAGGTCCTTTGTTAGAGACAGACAGAATTTGTTTGGGCTTGCTCTTGGTCTAAAGTATGTGAAGAGGATGACTCTTGTTCACCCTCACCCTCAGGGATCATGGTAGCGTTTGTTCTGATGGGCTAGTGGGGAGCAGACTTCCAGGGATGGTTCCTTAGACTTGGTCTTCAAAATGAAGGGTTTGCTCTGTGAAGGCTGGGAAGAGAGGACTGGATGGGGCAGGGAGGGGTGCGTTCCAGGGAGCATGTGGGGATTAAGACTCTGGGCACTGGTGGAAAACAGAGCCCCCTGGGCCAGGCAGGAGTGTGGGGCCTTATTCCTTGTGGGAAAGGAACCATAAAGCTGTTCTTTAAAGAAAAAAAACATGACATGAAAGAAAACTGGCATTTTCCTTCCAAACCCATATATGATTTTATCTTAAAATTTATATTTTATGTGTTTTCAACTATTAGAACATCTCACAAATCTGTTGTTTCTAAAATAACCAAAATCAAATGTCTCTATTTTCTAGGCTTGCCAAGAGGTTAAAGAGCGAGCCCCTGAAGTCTGACTTCACGATAGATTTAAAGCATGAGGTATGTCATGATTTGAAGACTTAGCAGTCAAGGAGTTACTCGTTTTTGTTGGGGGTGGGGCTCAGTGGTAGCACACACTGCAACCTGGAAAGGTCATGACTACTGTCACCAACTCTGTGCCAAAGAAAAAAACAGTCATGCCTTTTGATGCAAAAGTTGTGTTTTAAATTTTATATTCCCTTTCCCCACACAACCTCGTGTTCTCCCCACTAAGACAATGTTATAGCAGTAGGTGGAGAAGAAGCAGCGTGGGGGGGGGCAAGGGGGTTTTCGGGGGAGGATGAATTTCATGACTCTTTGCTTTATTAGGTAAATAGATGAGTTCGGAGGTGAATGTTTAAAATCATGCCAAAACATCACTGAAATCCTCTGTCTATTGCTTGGTGCTGAAGCACTTTTGTACCCTTCTGAACTTGTACCAGGAGCATTTAACTGGAAGTTGATTTGTATTGGTACATGCAGCTCTAGCCAACGGAGTGTCACTTACCACAGTGCTCTCTGTTTCTTTCTTTTTTTTATAGATTGATCTATTTTTATCTTATGTATGAGTGTATGAGTGTTTGTGTGTATGCTTGTGTACTGTGTGTGTGCAGTACCCACAGAGGCCAGAGGGGACATCAGATCCCCTGGAACTGGAGCTATAGGCAGGTCAAACCACCATGTGGGTGCTGCAAACTTAACCCAGGTCCTCTGTAAGAGCAGAAAGTGCTTGTAACTGCTGAGCCATCCCTCTAGCCCCATATAGTGGTCTCTTATATTAACATACTATTATTCTTTCTTGATAGTGAGTGTCTGCTTGGCTCCTAGTTGTTTATTATGACAATAATTGTTTCTATGAATAATTTTGGTATGTGCCACAACTGCCTGTGAGTGTTTCTCTATTGCAAGATAATTTAAAACTATTTTGACTGTAGCTTAACTTTAAAAAATATATTTTTTAAAAAGCAGGGCAGATGGCTTAGTTGGTAAAGCGCTTATTAAATAAGCATGGGGATTTGAGTTCAGCTCCCCAGCACACATATAAGAGCCTGGCACAGCAGCTCAGCTGTCATCCCAGTGCTGGGAGGCAAGGGCAGGCAGATTCCTGGATCTCATCTCCAGCAAGGCCACACCTCCTAATCCTTCCCAGTCAGTTCCACCCACTGGGGAGCAGGCATCCAAACATATGTGCCTGTGGGGACCATTCTCACTCACTCCACCACAGGTATTTCTAGCAAGTCAGCTGCTGGGCATTCTGGGCACCAGACTGTGATGTAGTTTCCTTTTACCAGTCTCTGGGCTGACTTGGCCTGCCTTCCTCAAACTACTTCCTGTCATCTTTGTAATTTTTTTTCATGGTTCATTTTGTTTTGCATGATTCATGGTTAACTGTTTATTGATTATAAAAGATCAGATCAATCTATGTGGCATTACCATTTTTTTTTTAAGCTGGGGGCTGAGGGGAAATTCTGTTGAATATTAATAAATTGACATTGTTCAACCTAATGCTCTCTCTAGAAGGTGTATCCTGCTGCCCCTTGGGACATTTTGTACCTTCCTATATTTGTTATTTTTGTTTAGTGTAACAGGAATAAATAAAAGGACCCAGAGACTGATATTGGGGTTCAAACTCCAAGCTGAATATCAGAAAAGCAAAGTAGTGGGTCACTAGCTCTCACCACTGCCTCAGGCTGAAAGGGCTGATCCACACACGAGCTCTTCACCAAGTGTCAAACTGCTGGCTCTCCTCAGTGTGACTGGGGAATGATGCCTCTCTGAGACCTTGCTTCTGTCTTACACACTTCCCTAATGTTGGGATTAAAGGTGTGAGCTATAATTCTCTTTTAGACTGATTCACTCTTGTGTAGATCTGGGTGGCCTTGGACTCACAGAGATCTGTCTATCTCTTCATCCTGAGTCCTAGGATTAAATGTGTGTACCACCACATCCGAGCTTCTGGCTGCTGGGATTAAAGGTGTGTGTCATCACTGCCTGATCTCTATAGCTTGAGGCTGACTTTGCTTTCTGAATCCTCAGGCAAGCTTTAATAAATCATAAACAATATGTCACTACAGTTTAGCTCTTTCCTCTCTGTCACTCTCTTGTCTTGAGACAGATTGCCCTCTACATCTGGGACAAGGGTGGAGGACCTCCCCTTACTCCTGTGCCTGAGTTTTGTACAGACGATGCTGGCTCCCACTGTGCCACCACGTTCCATTCTTTTCTGCCACTTTGTGTAAGTAAAGAGCAGCAACGCTTCCTTGTGGATCAAAGGAAAATGCACATATTGTGTGCATAACATTTACGTGTTGTGGACATAACATTATCCTAGTAAGTCACTTACTTAAAAATAAATCAGCTTTTGCTCCAAGCCTAGCCAAGGCCATATGCTGTATGCCTTATAGGTAAGTACTGTTGCTATTCCTATCTTCTGTATGGAGATGAGAGATGCATGGAGAGTTAGTGTTCCTGGACCCAGGTCCATCTGCTTACCACTTGACAGCCAGTACCTGGGAGATAAGAGCTGTGGGAACAAATGGGTCATTCAAGGGCCAGTGTGCTGGAAGATGGGAAGTGTTGTCTCCCAAACAGACTGTTTTAGAGAACACAGATCTGTGTAAGGGCTTTTGTGGACAGGGACAGGAGGTGCAGGGGACACTGGGCAGGGAAAGGGGGTGCAGGGGACACTGGGTAGGGGAAGGAGGTACAGTGGGCAATAGGCAGGAATGGTGTGTGTGCTTAGTAGGGCCTTTGTCATAAAAGGCCCACTACTCAAAGCACCAAGAACATTACAGAGCAAACAGGAATTTATGTCTAGAAAGACTAGTTGCCCATTGGGAACTGCAAACATTATAGGTCCCCTCTATTGTCACACTGTGGGGCTCCCATCATGAACCGGAAGACTCTGAAACTTAACTAGTTAGTTTTTTTGGCTTGTCAGGGAAAATACATTCAAGAACCTCATACAGTTACGGGAAAGGCTGTGTGTACCATCTGCCCCTCTGTCCTTACCCCTCCCTCCCTGTCTCTCCTCCTCTCCTCTTCTCTCTTCCTCCCACCTTCCAGCTGCAGCCCATTAACATTGCTTTCCTGGGGCTGCTCCCAACCATGTCACAGTCTTTTCTATGTTTTGTGTTTAAAAAATGAGGAGGTGAGTGGCACATTCTGAAGCTACCCAAGGTTGCCAGATGTTCTGGAAGTCTAATGATTCCATAGCTGTTAGCGCTCTTAGTCACTTAGGTGTCCTTAGAGAAGGCTCCCTGGCCAGAGTGAGAACAGAGAGCTGGGTTCAACACTCTCTCACTCCAGCCTTTTCTATCTCTCAGCCCGAGGTCATACCCTTTGTTGGTATGTGTGGTGATGGGAATTTTTGTTCCATTTCTTAGAAAGGCAAGTGCAAATATTTTCTGACACCCAAGGCCTGTCCATGTCCTGCCTGTACCACTCTCTTAGCACGTGACCTTGCTTTTGAGTTCACCTGGGACAATTCAGGACTCTCATAGGACACTTAGTTTCCAGGAAGACCTATGGTTCACTCCCACCATGGGCCTGGAGACTCTGAAGTTTACTAGATGTTACCCATCCCCCTTTCTTTCTTGTCAGAGAAAATACATCCAACACCCTCATACAGTGTATGTTGTTCTCAGACAAGTTATGGAAAAGGGTGTGTGTACCATCTTAAAAGGTACAACATACACAGACACACAGACACAGACACAGACACAGACACACACAAACACACACACACACACACACACACACACACACACACCCTACAGTGTGGCAATAAGTGAACCTGTAATGTTTGCAGTTCCCAGTGGGCAACTAGTCTTTCTAAAACCTGTTTGCCCTGTAATGCTCTTGGTGCCTTTAGTAGCACGACAGATCTGGGGGATATCACTATGAACCAACCCCAACTTCATGGTGGCATCACCATAGCTGTTATTACAAGCTGAAGACAGACAAGAGGGGGTGCTGTTGTTTGTTTTCTGTTGCTGTGATAAACTGTGACCAAAATCAAGTTGGGAGGAAAGGGTTTATTTGGCTTACCCATCCAGATCACCGTCCACCATCGATGGTAGTCAGGGTACTCAAGGCAGGATCCTGGAGGCAGGAACTGAAGCAGAGAACGTGGAGGAATACTGCTCACTGGCTTGCTTCTCATGGCTTGCTCAGCCTGTTTTCTTATAGAACCCAGGACCACCTGCCCAGGGAGGATGCCACACACAGTGGTCTGGGCCCTCCCCCATCAATCTTTAATCAAGAGAGTGTCCCACAGACATGTCCAGAGGCCAGTCTGATGGAAGCAATTCCTCAACTGAGCATCCTCCTCCCCAGGCGACTCTACATCCACAAAAACTTTGACCAGTAAGTGGGGTCAGCCCACCAGCCCCCAGGAAACAGTGGAAGTCCTTGGGTGTGCATGGTCATCAAGTTCTTCGGGGCTTGCTTCCCACCTGTGTGACCTTCCTCCCACTGGGGGTGTGAAGCAGTTCTCTCCTTAGCAGAGGACAGAGCAACCATGGCTTGGACTTGAGAGAACAAAATAAAGAGGTCATCCATGACTTTCAGTACCAAGCATGGTCAGCCCTAGAGAAGCAGGTAGCTCCCACTTTCACATGAAATCGTCCTCTATTCTTCTCCCCTTGTCAAAGTCTCCACCAGGTAAGAAAGTGAAAGGAGAGCAACTAACATTTATTAGTTATCTACCATGTGCCTAGTGAGTTAGTAGAGACAGCAGCCTCTTGACAGTTCTCATTCCTGATTTCTAAATGACCAGATGGAAATTCAGAGAGCTTAAGGGACTTGGTAACATGGTCTGCAACTGCTGAGTTGGGGGTGCAGATCCAGGGCTGATCTGGGGTACAAGTCCAGGGCTGGGCAGGGGTGCAGGTCCAGGGCTGGGCTGGGAATATAGGTCCAGGGCAGGGTTGGGGTGCAGGTCCAGGGTTGGGCTGGGAGTATTAGTAGAGACAGCAGCCTCTTGACAGTTCTCATTCCTGATTTCTAAATGACCAGATGGAAATTCAGAGAGCTTAAGGGACTTGGTAACATGGTCTGCAACTGCTGAGTTGGGGGTGCAGATCCAGGGCTGATCTGGGGTACAAGTCCAGGGCTGGGCAGGGGTGCAGGTCCAGGGCTGGGCTGGGGTGCAGGTCCAGGCCAGGACTGGGGTGCAGGTCCAGGGTTGGGCTGGGAAATAGGTTCAGGGCTGGACTCGATGTAGGTCTGGGATGGCGGTCCTGTGCTGGTTGACTCTAAGCCTTCATTCCCATACACATTCCCTTTCTTCCCTAAGACTACCATAGAATAGATAGCTATGCCATTGATTAATTTTAGCTGTAGATGTAAGATCTACTATGGGCATGAAGTCCAGGTAATGATGACCCACAGATGTATATAATTTTTTTCTTTTCTTTTTTTCCCCCTTTCTAGGGAACACCAGTGAATAAGGAGGAGATTTTTGTTGCAGTGAAAACATGCAAGAAATTTCATGGTGACAGAAGTATGTTTTGCCCTAATTCATTTTCCTTAAACTTCCAAGATCCAAAATGTCTTTGAAACAGTGCAAGCCAGGTGCAAATTCAAGATGGGCGATTATGATAGTGGGTGCCGAAGGGAAAGTGACTATTTAATCAGGGTTCCTTGCCGGGCTACTCCAATGCCTGGGAGATCACTTAGGAGAGGCAATTTTGTATTGAAACGTGAGTGGGTATAGCTCTTCTAAATATTGTTGAGATCAGCACCTTAAATTGAAAATGGGAAACACAGCTGTGGCAGCCTTGGGAACAGTGTGTGGATGACAATCTATCCTGTAAAGAGTCCCACTGTGTGCAGGCTCAGTGACTGAACCATATGGAGACTACCAGAGGCTTCCTAGTTAATACAATCCCATCAGAGAAAATCCCCTTTTATATTTATTTCATGTGTACACACTGGTTCTTTTTGATGAAGATCATGGATTTTCTCATAGAGTATTTGTATTGGAAAAGAGAAAAAAGAAACTCACCTTAGAAACAGTGGCCCAATGTATGGAACTCCTGGTATGCAGGTAAATGTTTTGTTCATCTCTGGTGTTTCATTACAGAATTTTTCTAGTTATGGGGACAATGCTAAAAGAAAAGGCCCATTCTAGATATAATTGGCACAATTCATCTTTTCATGTTGCGTTCAAATGGACACTCTCTGATGCTCAGAATCAGACATTCCTTTGCATGATCTAATTTTAGCACATTTTATGTAGACTGATTACACAGGATGCTGTGTGTAATATAGGAAGCTTGCTAACCCAATCATCATGGTCATGGGATCAGAGTGTTGGGAAATTCGTGTATATATTTTATGCAATAACACAATCCACATAGGTTATATTTTAAGGGAGAAGAGGTTTTTAAATGAAAGAATATGCTATTTTGGATTTATAGTGTGACCTATGATATCATCACTAATTTTAAACTAGTAAAAGTGCATTAATCATGTCTTTAGACTTGCCTGAATTTGTCATGTCAAATCCCAGATCTACTAAATCTGACTGAGTAAATATATGTATTATACAAGGAGGCCTACGGTAGGTACTATTAAGATCAATAAAGGAGTTGAAATAAGACTTTTATTTATCATAAATTTAATATCTGAAAGGGCTCTGTGGGGTGATTTTGGAAAAATATCTTTGAGGGGATGGAGTGGTTAAGAGTACTGGCTGCTCTTCGAGAGGACCCAGGTTCACTTTTCAGCTCCTGCATAGCAACTCAGGACCATCTGTAATTCCGGTTCCAGGGGATCTGGCTCCCTCTTCTGGCCTCCAGGGCCACTGCACAACGTGGTACACAAACATGTAGACAAGCACTCATATACATACACCAAAAATAAATCTTTAAAAAATTGGGGGAAAGGTAATAGAAAAATACACTATATTTTAAAAGTTTTGTTTTTCTGGAAAAATAGTTATATTGATTTAGTTGATCTTGAAGCTGCCCTCAGAATAGTGATTATTTTTGCAATATTGATGTTAAGAATAATGTGGATAGTAAGAGATGACACTGTAATTTTTGCTCTAAAGCATATTTTTCAGGTCCCACCTGTTATATTTTTCATAATCTACAGAAGTGAATGTTTGTTCATTCTGAGTTATGAATTTTGAATAATTTAGTTTTCTTATTTAAGATTGAGATCATTTTTTTTTTTACCAGATATCTATGAAATGCTATTATCCTTGGATTTAAAGTTTAAACATTTTTTAAAAAAATTATAAAAACCTTAAAAATTCATTTCTGGATCTGTGGGGACTGAGACACGAGACCTAAGTCTGAAGATTTCACACATGGGTTTCTGCGTGAGCTATCTTTAAGCTTCCATTCCTTGGTTTGTGAAGACAACTTTGTAGGGAGATTGGCTCTGCCTTTTGCTGGGTGGAAGCAAAGCCTACCTGGCCACTGGGCTCTGCACAGTCTCCTTTACATGTCTAGTCCAGGGCTGGAAAGCTGACTCAGCTCATGTTAAAAACATGTACTGCTTTCCCAGACAACCTGTGCTTGGTTCCCAGCACCCATGCCAGTCAGCTCACAGTCACCTAAAACTCTGTGTCTGGGGGATTTGATACCTTTGCCATTCATGTATACCTACTCACATGCAGGAATACACACACACACACACACACACACACACACACACACAATTTAAAGGTAATAAAAATAATTCACTAAGTAGTCTAACCACCAGTTGGCTCACAGATTGTCACAGATTGACCAGTTACCCCTGTCAGTGTTAGACAATGCCATAATAGCTTCTCTCTCTCTCTCTCTCTCTCTCTCTCTCTCTCTCTCTCCATGTGTATGTGTGTGTTTGTGTGTGTGTTACACCTGTTCCCTAATCTGATCTTGTGTTGACAGTTCCTTATTCTATGACAATAACTGTGATACCCTTGATTTTCTAGATTTTCTAGGTGAGCCTCATAGCGAGGACTCTTGTTACCAGAAATGTGGGGACATTCTGCAACAGTCACCATGTTACAAGAGAAATCAGGGTCCCCTCTTGGGGTGCTTAGTTGCATTATTAAAAGTATTTAAGAGCAGACTTATGCAGAAACCCTAAGACAGTTTAATTAGCATTTAAAAGAAAAATTCCAAGCAGGCAAACTATAAGTCTTGGCAGCTGCCTGAATGTGGGAGATAGCAAAGAGGCCATGGCATTTGAGTTGAGTGGGCATGGAGGTCAGACGCGTGATGGACAAGGCGTCATCCCAGGGAGGGAGCTATAGGAAAAGCATGAGAAATCCAGAGTACCAGGGAAAGCACACTTGGGCTGTAGCAAGCATCTGGAGAAAGGAGAACAGCAGAAAAAGAAGTTATGTTTTTCTAAAGTGGACAGAGCCAGCAGAAGCTCACGGGGAGACCTGTAATGACTGTACAGGGGCAGGGATTCTGGGAAGGAAGAGTATATTGTCTTATTAAAGGGATAATTATTCCTCCCACCTCTTTAGCATGGCTGAAAGTGAACCTGTCTTCCTGAGGGATGGGTGGGTCATATGACCTGCCCAGTTGGAGGAGACAATGGTATGTCTCCATCCAGAGGTAGATTTCACAATTTAATTAATTAATTAATTTATTTATTTATTTATTTATTTATTTAATGCCTGGTGCCTGTAGAGGTCAGAAGAGGGCATCAGGTTCCCTGGAACTGGAGTTAGGATGGTTGTGAGCTGCCTTATAGATGCTGGGAATTGAACACAGTCAAGAACATGTACTGTAAAACCACTGTGCCGTCTTTCCAGCCCCAGATACACTCCATTCTTTTGGCTTGGAGGTAACAGCTCTCCCTTTGTGAGGCTCCAATGCTATTCTACAACCATTGAGAACAGGAGGCTGACGTGGGCTCCTTGCTCTAGCCTGTCTCCTTGGATATATAACAACCCCACTTGATAAACTGTCTTTGATGTTTGCGTCGATGCCTGGCTATCTATGCTCAAGGCCAGTTAGGGGTTAGACAGAGCTGTGTGAGCAGACCTTCCCTTTGCAGTGGTGATGAGGAAGGCCAGCAAGGAATTCAAGCCCACATGTGACCCACAGCACACACTGGGTAGACCCAGGCCCCCGTCAAAGCATATTGCTCTCTGAGCAGAATACACAGATGAGGACTAGTGTTCCTCTTTTCCTGTTCTCTGGGGTAGAAGTCCTTGAAGGAACAAAAGCCAAATGGCATTGAAGGGGAGGAAAAAAAAATAAAACAGATAAGAAACTATAGTTTTGAAAAACTGAGAGTGGGCCATGCTGTTTCTTGCAGGCCGACCTGCTTCATGACCTCCCATTACCTCCATGGAAGAGGGTGAGGGACAGAATGACAAGGGCTAACGTACATGGAATTCATATTTTTATGTCATCACGATGAACTGATAACAAGACCAAGTTCAAATATCTTAACAATTTTACTTGTATCCCTAACCACGAAAGAGCAATGCTACTGAATTTGTGTGGATTCTGGCAGAAATAGAATAGAAAATTCTTAGAACATAGAAAAAGTATTTTACTTTTTTTTTTCCTTTAAGGAGTAATACATGTTGACACCATTTGAAGTGTGAGTAGGGAAAAGACTCCTGATTTTTAAGATGCACCTTAGTGACTTCCTCTGGGTTATGGGGCCTTCACTGTGTGATGTGAGCTGTCAGAAACCCTTAAGTGTTTTCTCCACATCATTCTGCCACGCTGTAGTGTGGTGCATGCAAGCCTCACATTCCTGGAGTAGGCAGTTTTCGTTTATCACGATAGACAGGGTGTGACATGCTCTCCTGTGGGCTACTTCTAATTAAAAAGGTTAAGTGAGATTTCCTCAGCCATTAGTCCTTTTTCACAGCTTTCTCTAGATCTTGAAAACAACACTATTGCTTTCAGATTAAAAAAAAAAGAAAAGAAAAAAACCCATCTGTTGTCTTTCCTGCTGTGATCTTGTCCAGGGGAGGCAAATCTTAGCGGCTGTATTAGACAATGATGTAGCTGCCACCTCTTATAAAAGAGGCCGTGGCTATGGGGACACAACCCAGTTCCTTACAAGGCGAGGCTTGCATTAAACTGCCCCCAGTTGGAAGGCTACACTGATCAGACAAGGTGATTAAATCTGAATTGGCTGAGTGGAGTCATGTGTTGCCTCTCTCTACCTGGATGTTGAATGACTGAATATGTTTCTAGGTGTTGTTTGGATCAGCCAGGAGGGGTGGTTTTCCTGCTTAGGGCCACTTAAGTCTTCACACACCATCTGTTGTCCCTAACACTGTCTGGGGAAGTAAAACGTCACCAGGACTTCCCTTTTGTGGTCACTGACTTGTCCCTGGAGAGAAAAGGTCCATTTGCCAGTTGATAATAGTGCATTCCTCAGAATCAGAACAGCCTGTCACTCTTGACTGTGTGGAACGTTCACATTGATGGATTGAACGTTTATAAAAATGTTCAAATGTCGCTTGTCACACTAGGCAATTTTGCAAGTTAATTCATAGGGGTAAAATGGTTTTTTCTGCTGTCCCTTACAGTGAGGTATGTCTTCCACTGCTTCTAGAAAGATTTATACTACCTATGCTACTGGGATTTCATTCTCTTTTATTTTTTGAATAATAACTTTTGAATAATAAATTTTCACTCTGCTCCAATTTAAAATAACTCTATGGCAAACTCCCTTGATTCAGTATGATTTTATTCCACGGTGGAAAGTTTGGATGTTCAGTGTCCTCCATCAGCTCATGTGTTTGAACACGTGGCCTAGCTGAATAACATGAGCTCCAGGCTCAATGAGAGACCCTGCCTCACATAATACAAAGCAGAGAGATGGATGAGGGCACCCTAAGCTCTCCTCCCGCCCCTGTGCTAACAGATGCACACACTCACACATTTGTGTACACATGCCTCATACACATGCATATACACAGATACATACAAAACACATTGTACATTTATTTTATTTTATGTGTGTGAGTGTTTTGCCTGCATGGCTATATGCGCCCCACATGTGTACCTGGTGCTCAAAGAGGCAAAAAGAGGGTATCAGATCACCTGTAACTAGAGCATCAGACAGTTAGGAGCCAGCTTGTAGGTGCTGGGACCTAAAACAGGTTCCTCTATAAGAGCAGTCAGTGCTCTTAACCAGTGAGCCATCTCTCCAGCTTCCAAAAATATTTTAAGAATCTGTTTATGGAGAGTTAAATGAAAGAACCTTTTGGAAAAAGATGATTCACAATTCATCTAAACAAAGCAGTATTGTCGGACAACGTTTGATTCCATGGAGGTGAAATGGGTTGTGCGCCCGAAGGGCTGTCAGCAAGCAATACTTCAGGTAGAGTGGTCAATCCCATGGCTGGCAGCAGATGGCATTCCCTGGGGTACAGAGCAAGCTCCTAGTCTGGGGGCACTAAGAAAGAGTGAGTGTTGCTTCCCTGTAGGGTCACGCTGCCCATTTAAATGTTCATTTCTTTCTGTGTCATGCCTGTGACAGTCCCCTCTGCTGTGTTTTCAGTACCCATTGTAAAGAAGACGTGGGCGGCACAGGCAAGCCTTATCGAATACTACAGTGACTATGCAGAAAGCCCCATTCCCACTGTGGACCTGGGGATTCCCAACACGGACAGAGGTGAGCTCTGAATTCTCACTATACCCTTGATTTAAAATCCGAAGACTGTGCAAATTCGGCAAGTCAGGATAAACTGAAATCTAAGTACTGGGATTCCTTATTTTAGTTCTTTTCCACTGGGCATCTTTACCTGTAGACATGTACAGGCTCTCACATGGGACTTTTAGTACAAATAGAAGCTCTGTGTTTTTGGTAGGATGTGCTGCACCCTAGCATTGAGCATATGGCAGTCACAATACAGATGAATGGTGGTGGTTTCCCAACTCCAGGTTCATCGTGACTAGAGTGGGAGGTGACAAGTTAATCTGTCAGCTTCTCACACAAAGCTTGTGTCCTGCCAGGTCTCTGGTCTAGTTCATACTTTGACTCTCTGAGCACCTGGCACATTCTTGTAGTGCTCAGGTATACAGTTACAGATATTATAGCTGTTCATATTTTGATTAAAAAGTGGTTGTGAGTCTACCTGGTTTTCCTTCCAGATGGGAGAGTTTACTAGTTAGTTTGGTTTGGTTTTGAGACAGTCTCATGTAGCCCAGGGTGTCCTTTAATGCTGGACTTGCATTCATGATCCTGCTGTATCCACCTCCCAAGTGCTAGAATTCTAGGCTTTGCCTTACTTAGAGTTTCCATTGCTGTGATAAAACACTGTGTCCAAACACCTTAGGGAGGAAAGGGTTTAATTCAGCTTACTTGAGAATTAGGGAAAGCTAATTACTGGGAAAATTTCAAGTTATTATTGTGTCTGTCAGCGTTCAGGCTCTTCCATCGCTTTAAAACTAAAACCAAACAAGCAAACAAATGTATGCTGTATATTATAGCAAATAATACATTTACAGTTTTCTTTTTACCTTTCCCAGGTCATTGTGGAAAAACTTTCGCCATTTTGGAAAGATTTTTGAATCGTAGCCATGACAAAGTAGCATGGTTAGTCATAGTGGATGATGACACATTAATCAGGTAAGAATCCTTCTCATCCTGGGACTGTCTCTAACTGTTATGGTAGGCATGTCTTCTCTAGGTGACGGTAGAGCAGCAGTGATGGGACGGTTTTAAGATACTGAACATCTGGCAACTGTGAAACAGGTCACTGTCCCACTGACTGCCTTCTGGCCGTGCTCAGCCATTGTTAAGGGGGAGGAGGTACCAGCTGGGTACCTACACACAGTTTATGTTAAAGATGTGGATCTGAGACTCTCAGGAGACCAAGGCTGTTAGTTTGCAGGATCTAGAACTAGAAACAGATGTCCAAAAAGACAACCCTGGGCATCCGCAGAGGACCCTCTTCAAGTATTCAGTAGAGTAGAATGTCTGTGTAAGGAAGCTTCTTGAAGCTGGAACAGAACCCACCAAAATGATTGGAGGGAATGACAGTGGGCTCTCATGCAGGGCTAGGCATAGTCCCTGTTCCCAACAATATGGCAATAAATACTAGCCAAAGAAAAACACAAGTGGGGGGAATGTTGTAAATGATGTTATTGCTTAGATACATTGTTTCAGTGTTTTGATTTCAAGTTATTATAATTAAAGCTACTATATATTTTATTTTTTAAAGATTAATTTATCTTATTTATGTTTGAATATTTTGCCTGTGTCTGTGTGTATGTACCACATGTGTGCAGTGACCAGGGAGGCCAGAAGAGTGCATCAGAACCCCTGGAACTGGAGTTACAGATGTTTGTGAACCACCATGTGGGTGCTGGGAATCGAACCCTAGTCCTCTGCAAGAGCAGCAAGTGCTTTTAACTGCTGAGCCATTGCTCCAGCCCCCACTGTGTGTTTTCTCGTAGAAGTCTCAGTGTAGTCTTGCTTTCATTTCTCTTGGTTAAATATGTAGGAACAGAACTGCTGATTTTTAATGTATCATGTCATTGTTAAGTTTCCTGAAGATGAGGACTTTTTCTGCCCCGAGTAAATATACAGTAGATGGCTGGGGAAAGAGTCTAATGTATACACTTTCAGGGGAGTGAAGAAAAGTCCATATTATGTGTTTGTGTGTTGGTTTTTTTATATACTCAGAGGAGAGCCTGCGAATAAGACATTAGAATAAGTGGGAATAATTGGTTAATCTGGGGAAAGGCTATTTGGGGCTTTCATCCTGTTTTCTGTAACTTTCCTATAATTATAGCATGCAGTACCATAATAGGGCAGAATGGAGCATGTCTGGCATTGCGAGGTCGGCGTTCTGCCGGTGAAATCAGCCTGCACTGTCAGGCTGTGCTTGTCCAGCATGGGCGTGCTTGCTAGAGAGCATGGACGTGCTGTTTTACTACACGCCTGAGACTCAGAAGTGCTGAAATGGGAACAGATTGTTAAGTGAAATGCTTTTCCTGGGCCAAATCCCCGTAGATGGAGTTGAAATCTATCTGCTTCATTGACATTCTTACTCCCCAGTGAGTTCGAAGTGGGTGATAATTAACAGACTCCGTTGGCGGCCCCTGAGCCTTGCAGCAGTGTGTTGAAGATGGGAATCACCCATGGTATAAGAAAAAGAAGCCCAGGGGAATCTTAAATTACTTTAACCTTAAAATACTGAGCATTGTAGGTGGAATTGATAATTTCACAATATGTGGGGAGAAGAGAAAAACAATTCTCTCTCCTTTTAAAAATTTTTATGATTTTAAAAAATATTTTATGTCTATGAGTGGTTTGCCTGCATGCGTATGTATGCACACCACATGTATGCAGTGCCTGCAGAGGCCAAAGGGGGGCGCTGAATCCTCTGGACCTGGAGTTAAGTGGTTGGAAGTCGCCATGTGGATGCTGGGAACCAAACCCAGGTCCTCTGCAAGAGCAGCCAGTGCTTAATTGTTGATCCACCCCTCTAACCACCCTGTCTTTTTAAGCTCAAGAAATACCATTTTGCCCTAGAAAGTTTGGGTTTAGGTCTCTTACAGACTGAACCCTTAAGAATCACTGAGCATGGATCCTCCATCTGCAAATACAGTCAGCTTCCCCATACAGATTAACTTCTCAGACAGCCTCTTGAAGACAGATTCCAAATTCAGTGCTTAGGATGTGTAATCTTCATGCCAAAGAGCAGAACGTTTTATGCTCACTCAGAAACCGCCAACATCGGCAAAGGCCTTGGCCTACCAGACATTCTAAACCTACCTGTCAACTTGGAAGACCCTGGGCCACACACTTGTATGGAGGTCTTGCGGCTGCTGTTGTCTTGTCCTTATATTCAGTAAAGTCGCTTTCCCCACTCTCAGCTTTATCTGGAAAGCACGATAGATCCATCATTCTTGTGTGTTCAGCCTTTTCTTCCTTGTCACTGCTACTCTCCCCAAGTGAGGAACAGCGAGTGTCTGGGACTCCTGCTACCCCATACTTAGTCTGTGGTGTTACGATGCAGCGCAGAGGTCAGCATCACTCACCTGAGAGCCCTTGAGATCATGGAGCAGGGTCTCAGAGGCATCTTGAAGCTTAGCCCTTTAACATGTTAACCCAAAGTTACGGACTAGTCACAAATCAGTTGTAAGGATCACTGGTCAATGTTCTAAGGGAAAGTTAACACTTACTGATGGGTGACCTGGAAATCTCTAGAGTAGGGGAGGCCTCTGGAAGACATTTCTATTGGTTTTCTTTTCTCTCCCTCCTCCTCTCTCCCCCTTCCCTCATTTCCTTCCCTCCCTCCCTCCTTCCCTCCCTCCCTCCTTCCCTCCCTCCCTTCGTCCTTCCCTTCCTCTCTCCTTTCTTTCTTTCTTTCTTTCTTTCTTTCTTTCTTTCTTTCTTTCTTTCTTTCTTCTTTCTGTCTTTCTTTCCTCTCTAGCTAATCTAGGACTCTCAGAGATCTGCCTATCCCTGCCTCACAACTGCTGGGATTAAAAGCGTGGCCCACCACACCCAGCTCAAAATGGTCTAACACTTAAAAACAGGGGAGCTCTTGCCTTTGTTACATCGACCTGTATGTTGCCTCTTAAAAGTGGGTTTTACTTCTTATTTCCCACAGTCTGGTTTATTCATCTCTCTGCAGCTGTCCTAGCAGTGTGTGAGCATTCTCACTGGCATCTGCCAGCTGCCATTGTTGGCCATGCCAGGACAGGTGGGCCCTCAAAGTATTCAAGGGATTCACATGTAGACCATAGCTAATCCCCTAGAAGCCTTGTTGAGGAAAGGACAGCCCAATCTGAGGATTTTTTGGGGAAACCATCTAGCCTTGCTGCCTTCCCACCTACTGACCCCAGCCTGATAGCAAACACCCAAGCCCTCTTGCTCTTCAGAAGCTCTTTCTTACCCATCGAGAGTTAAAACAACCCGAGGGGGGTTAAGTGACACTCACTTGGAAGCAGCTTGGTAGAGGAGATCTGCAGCCATCTGACCATCTTCAGTCATTCACTTGCCACTCTGCTGCCCCAAGGGAGGCCCCTGTGCCTGGCAGGGCTGAGTTCAAGTTGGATGCAGAGTAGCTCTGACTTCTTGCCTTCCCTTCTAATGTACAGTGTTCATTAGAAGTGGGGGAGTCTTTTAAAATCCATTTATTCTACATTTGAATTTGACCTCTAAATGATTTATTCTGAAGTTAAATAAGCCTCTCTTTGCATCTCAGCATCTCCAGGCTCCGACATTTGCTTAGCTGCTATGACTCCAGTGATGCGGTGTTTCTGGGTGAGCGCTATGGCTATGGCCTGGGCACAGGCGGAGGGGTGGGGGGCGGGGGAGGTGAGAGCTGGATACAGCCATCTCTTGTCCCTTTGTATTTCTATTTATTCCTGAAGGGTAGAGTCCAGGAACCCCTGCAGGTGCTCAAGGCCTTTAGATAAAATGTGACATTGGCATGTGACCTGTGCCCACATGCCTGCAAACTTTAAATCCATTCCCAATCACTTCTCATACATATTACAACATAAATGCTATGGAATTTCCTTTTTTGAGGATCTGATTGTGTAGCTTCAGCGGGCCTAGAGTAACTCCTCCCTCTGCCCCCAGAGTGATACAGGATAATTAGTGTGTGTCACTATGCCTAACTAAAAATAGTTTTTATGTTGTGTTCTTTACTGGATGATGAAAAGAATAAAACTCAATGAATTTTTTTTCATCAGTGTTTGGTGTTTGATGGAGTCCACAGATGTGGACCCCATGGGTGCAGAGAGAACTAACTGTATTTTAAACATTAGATTTTTCTTTCCACACACATAGACTTGGTTTGCAGTGCCAAGGCCTGTTCTGACATGTGGATTCTCTAGGTGGGGGTAGTTCCTATAATAGAAAAGTAAACTTTACTTTTGAGAAATATGAGCAGAACTCAGAGTAAAGAATAGCTTATTATCCTTTGATGGAATAATATAAAATTCAGATCAGCATACTTAGTAGGAATCTTCCTGGAATTAATGCTTGATTCTAGACAACGGACTAGTTTTGACTATCATGTTAGATGGAAAAAATGCTTATAGATTTTAATTTCAGAAAAAATAAGTCATTAAACTTTAAAATTATCCAATGCCTAATAAATCATATTTGATGAAAGAAGAATATAGAATCTTAGACTTAGGCAATTAAATAGTATTTGTGTAGGATTTATAGGTCTTAAATAATAGCTGAAAAAATCAATCGTTTTAAATGAAGCACCTACCTGAGCTCTATGGGGAAAGATTTTAATTTGATTCTTTATGGGCAAATCAATCTAGCAGTCAATCTTTTCTGTTATTGCAGCAGTCTTTGCTATTTGGTATTAAGGAGGGCATTACCTGGTTATCATCCACAGGCATTTATGTTCACTGTGTGCCAAGCAGTATCATAGAAAGTGTAGAAGTATCTGAAGAACCAGGGCCTTTCATTCCTATTTTATTTTACCTGGGTTTGGAATGCTTCTGTCTCAGTCCATTTTGCCAGTCACCGTAACAAAATACTTGAGCCTGGGTAACTTTTAACACTAAGAGGTTTTTAGAAGTCTAAGAGGGTTTTCTAGTTCACGGTTTTAGAACTCCGTAGTATGGCCCTGACTTCTGCTTAGCCTCCGTGGCAGCCTTCTGGCGACATCACATGGAGGATGGCTTGGTGACTGGAGTAGAGGCATGAGGGAGAAAAGATGCTGAGACCGAAGCAAGAGAAGTCCAAGTGATGGCTTCTTCCTTTCTGATAACCCAATAGCCAGTCAAGAGGAAGTTTCCTTCTCCATACCGACCTGATTTCTCCATGTCCCTCCACCAGAGTGTAAAGTGTGTAAAGCCCACCACTTATCAAGGTTCTTGAGCCCCTCCCCTGATTTGGCGTGTGTCCTTTGGACCTTCTAGCCTCATATGTGTACACTCTTATCCTAATGGATCCATGTTGAACTTGTTGCAATTTCCCAGATACACCGTTTCTTTCTCTTTGAATCTGGTCCCCATGCCAGCTTCCTGTCCTCAGTTCTCCTTATAGATTTTCAGTCCCTGCCATTCTCTCCACTCCTGTTTGCAGCAGCACAGCACAGCCCTTGTGATCGGGTCTGGTGCTTTTCTAGCGCCTTCGCACAGTGCACTATGCAACCCATTACCATCTAATTGCCGATTGACTCTCCTGTTTTCCACTTAGGTTATGAATTATTTGTAGATAGCACCTGTGTCCTACTTCTCATTATGGCCCCACTTTGTAGCAAAGGGACTCATTGCTTTTCAAGGTACAGAGAACAAGTAAATAAAGAAACACATGGACACCAGCATTTAATTTCCTCGTAGATGGCATGACTCACACAAGGTTTGGTTTTTAAAACGTTCCTTCATTGAGATGCAGAAGTAATCTTCATGTAATCATCCCTCTAGTCAATCTTTGCTAAAACGTACAGACAATATTGTATACTTTGTCCAGGGCCACTTAGGATTTTCTAAGGATTTGGTTGAAGAAGTTAATTTTTTTAAACAGCAGGTTAGGGGCAGGAGAGATGGCCCATAGGTAAAGAGACTGGCTGCTCTTGCAGAGGACCCAGTTCAGTTCCCAGCACTCAAATGGTGGTTTATACCCATCTGTTAACTCCAGTTCTGGGGCCTGGGATGCCCTCTTCTGACCTCATGGGGCACACATGCATACATGTAGGCAAACACTCAAACATACACATACAATAAAAAGAAAAATAACTACTGAGCCGTCTCCCCACCCCCCACAGTTTTTAATATTTAAAAGTGGGCTGGTGGAACACTCAAGTGTTCTTTCCTATCAAGTTGGGATCAGTCACTTTCCCTTTGTGTGGTCAACTTTATCCAGAAAAAACTTGTGAACAGTACTAATAAATACATTTTGCTAAAGCCAGTGTGTACTTAGTGTATGTGAATTATCTGAAGTGTAAAATAATTACCAATGGGAATTCCACACTTAAATTTTATCTTCCTGTGAAGTCGGTCTTCCAGGAGCCAACCACAATGAAAGGACTTATTTATTCTCATCCCGCTGGAGCTGGCAAAAGGAAACAAGAAAGAGCTTTGGACACTTCCTTCACACAAGTCTCTTTTCCCAGGGTTGGGAGGCTGGGGCAACTGTAGGTAGCTAACTGTGCTGGAGTTTGATGGGGACCTGAAAGCATGTGGCCCTGGGGTCTCACCAGTCAAATTTCTAAGAGAAGTCTTTCCAGTTCGCAAACTTGCAGTTTCTTAGTGTATGTAGTTGTCAGGAAGGAACTTTACCTCTTTTTTTAAAATTTATTTATACATTTGTGTTTCTTTATATATCAGCTTATAAAGAACTTCTGCTTTTGTTGTTGTTTTTGAGTCATCTGGCATTTTAGGAAAACCAACAGCACTGTTGCCCCCAGTGTTTGCACTGTTGTCTCTGGTGTTTGAACTGTCATCCCTAGTGTCTGCATTGTTGCCCCCAGTGTTTGCACTGTTGTCTCTGGTGTTTGAACTGTCATCCCCAGCATTCACTATTGTCCCTGGTATTTGTACTGTCCTCCCTGGTGCTTGTACTGCCATTCCCTGCATTTGTCTCCGTTATGTAACAGCATTCAGCAGACCCCAGTGAGGTAGAGAATCACCATTTTTTAACCAGTGTCTTCAAACTTCCTCCAGTGCTCTGTCTGCTAGGTGGAATGGTGGAAGATCTTTTCAAAGAAGGCTTTTCTGGGTTGTTTCATACCTTGAACTTGTTTGAGTGCCTACTGTGTGCATGCATTGGGTATGGGAAGATGTATATGGATTTTAGTTCAGCTGTGTCACCTTTGAGACTTTATGATCTGAAGAGGACTTTTTACTGCCGTGGGACCAGAAAGGAAACAAACAAACAAACAAACAAACAAAAAACATTTCTCTTTTTAAAAAGAATTTATCATGGGACAGTAGTTTTACCTCGAGGTCACCAACCATAGAGAAATACTGCTGCCAGGGATGGGTGTGTTCTCTCCGCCCATGGCTGCTGTGGGATCTCGATGCTCAGAGATATTCCATTCAAAGCACGCATAGGGACTGGCTCCCTAGATACTCTGTGAGAATGTGTGGCTGCCTTTGCAGCGCAGACCAACAAGGGCAGCAGCTAACAGTCTTCCTTCAGATCTTGGGTCCCCTGCTGTCAGGTGAACTCAGCTGTCAAGGGAAGCCCAGAAGGGTTGTATGGAAAGGCTTTGCTCTCCAGGATGCTGAGGGAAGCAGAGAAAAACCACAGTGGGGTTGGAGCTTCCCCTAGGAAGTAAGTCCCCACATCCCAGGCCAAAATGGTGTCACAGCACTGTTCACAGGTCACACTCTGACCACCCCTGCGTTAGTTACTTTTCTGTTGCTATGACAAACACCACGACCAAAAGCAACTTGGGGAGAAAAGGGTTTATTTCATCTTACAGCTTGCAGTCCATCATGAAGGAAAGTTGAGGCAGGAACTGAAGCAGAGGCCATGAAGGAGTGTTGCTTACTGACTTGTTCCCCATGGCTTTCCCAGCCTGCTCTTATACAACCCAAGACCGCCTGCCCAGGGCTGTCACTGCCCGCTATGGGCTGTACCTCCCCTATCAATTGTTAGTCAAGAAAATGTCCCACAGACTCGCCTGCAGGCCAATCTGATAGAGAGAACCCCATTTTCTCAAGTGGGGTTCTCTTTCTAGTTGATTCTATTATGTATCAAGCTGACAAAAAACAGACAGTAGTGTTAGAAAATAGTGTTTATTTATAGGAGATGCACATACAACTGTCTACTAGGTAGGTAAATGAAGTATAAAACTGTCCTCTGCAGTGTGGTCAATGAAGTGTGCCCATGTCAATAATGTGTGCCTCTCTCAAGAGTGCAGCCTCTATCTAAACCAAAGCAGTCCTCTATTCAGGTTAACTGGCTCCTCTGCTCTACTCTAACCCTTTTTCTGTCTGCTTCCACCAGCATGGTCTTCAGCAGGGAAGCCATCCAGAGACTTAATGCCAGGAACTGCCGATGCTACAGTAATGATGCTCCTGATGACATGGTCCTGGGTATGTGCTTCAGTGGATTGGGGATTCCCGTGACACACAGTCCCCTCTTCCATCAGGTAAGAAAATGTTTCTCTTCCCCTCACAGGGGAAGAGTCCTTCTCACTTAGACTGTTTCTTTCGCCTCTCATGTTTTGGAAATAATCTTAAGGACTAGGATAGGTTCCACGGGGATCTTTTTTTTTTTTAATTTATTTATTAGTTCTAGTTAGGGAACAAGCTTGTTTTACATCTAAGTCCCTTCTCCCTCTCCCTCCCCTCACCCCATCCCTCCTCACCCACCCCCAGCCTTCCCCCCACCCCATCCCCCCAC